ATTATTTAATATTATTTTTAAAAAGATTTTTGGGCATAAGTTGGTTTGGGTTGTTTGGGGTTGGTTTTTTTTTAACAATCAAAGTTGGTGATGCATGAGAATGAACAAAATATTTATTTTCTGTACCCAGTAAATTTATTTACTGGTTGAGTTTCATCTTCACCTGAGCTCTCTTATAAAAAATGGTAAGGCTTATTTACTTCTGCTATAAAAAGCAGTAAATAACCACTCTAACTTAGCCCCATGACTTGGGCAATAAACAAACTTCCCACTTTATCTGAGTGTAAATCCGTGCATACCTCCTAGCTTCTTCTTTCTGTTGCTCTCTCCAGCTGCTCTCCATATAACGTAAGGCATAATCACTTTCATCTTTGTATCTGGAAATTAAATAATAGTTTTCAGCACACTAAAAAACATAACATACAGTTTAGTTATGAATTCCTGTTCCTTCTTAGAAAGAGTAATTACCTTGCCATACACAGATTTTAATGTTTTGAAAGAATCTAAGTTATGAGCCTTTAAAATGCTTGCTTTCTTATGCCTTATTGTCAGACAAGATGAAAGTATTTAAAAAGTGAAGTAAGAGCCTTCATTTTCCAGCAGCTCCTAGTCATACCAAGTTAGATCCCCTTGCAGAACAGCTAACATTATTGCATTTAGCTGTTCATATTCAGGCAGTTACATTTATGAATTCTGAAATACTGCAGGCTGCTATAGAAAGCATTTTAACATCCAAAAAATAGGAAAGAATTGCCATCAATTATACAAGTGAGACATTGAAGAAGCTGTAGTGTTTTCCAGCTATGTCCTATTGCATTAAATTTTATTGCTCCCCAGAAGAGCATGGCAGGCAGTATGAAAATTCAAGGTCCCTTCCACAAAGAAGGAACTCTAATGCTTGTTGAATTTCTGCAATGCAAAACCATTTCTGGATACCAGCACTTCCCCTATCTCTAAACCATTTTTATTTGAACTATATTAGTTTCTGTTGTTTGCTCTGCAATATCTTAAAATTGACATTTTTCTTACCTTTTCCTGTCATAGCCAAATATTTCCCGAATATGTTTTGATATTTCTTCTTGGGGTTCCCCTTCATCTTCAATGAAGTCTTCCATTTCAGAGTCATATTCATCATCATCATCATCTTCTATTTGTCTCTTGTAACTAATAGGTGGTCTTCCAAGACCTAAATGACAGGGGAGCAGAAAAAAATCATTAATAACATTAATATAACATTAATTTAACAGTACTTCTCCTTGCTGTACCTTGGGCACACCCATTTTACAGCTCTGGGCTTCAAGGTGAAAAACTTCTGCTGCAGGTTAACTAGCAATTCTCAGAAGCTTAGTCAAAGGAAATACTTCCTCTAAGTTGTGCTGTAGAAGATTACGTATCAGTATCACTGACTGCACTCTGAGGAAACTACCAGACAAATCTATGTTCTTGTTCAGGGTTTTCTAAGTACTTATTTGCTGGAGTCCATGCTGTTTATTTCTCTTCGGAAATAAATTTTTAGAACTGCTTGCTTACTGGTAAGGTGAATTTGCCAAAACACTTAAATATCAGTCACAGGTTTGCTGCATGGTTTTAATTTTCATGTACCACTTTAAGCATCTGTTATTTAAGACACTAGGAAATTTTGAAGACTCTGCATTGCTTAATCATGCTTGAAGTAAATTCTTCAGTTCTTTTGCTTCTAATAGCATTCATATACCAACATCCATCACAGGCTGCTCAGTTTTCTTTCATGTAATACTTCGCAGCCCAGGCCTGTATTTCAAGGAATATGAGCAAAGGTGAAAGTAAAGAAAAAGTTGCAAAATAGAAAAAAGCATTTACTTTTAAGTGCATTCTTTAAAAGGCAAATACGGTATTTTGTCCAAGTCTCCCTAATTGCATCTATAATTCTCAAAGACCCTCAGTGACCTCAACTCAGACACATACAAAAATTACAAAAACAATAACCAAGTGAAAAAATTTACTCCAAGTGAAAAAGTTATTTATACCTTGTGGATGAAATACAGGTCTATGCCCTTGAAAAGATCTCATTCCATTTATCTGTCCGTTGCTAGGTCTCGTAACTAGGTTTTTAGAAGAAATAGTTTCCGATACAACAGTACACTTCGGTTTTACAGTTGTACCCAAGCTGCTGCCTGGTCGCTAGGTCTCGTAACTAGGTTTTTAGAAGAAATAGTTTCCGATACAACAGTACACTTCGGTTTTACAGTTGTACCCAAGCTGCTGCCTGGTCGCTTGGCTCCTGTGCTCGGACCGATTCCTGGCCTTCCTGGTCCTGCTCCCAAGCTGCTGCCTGGTCGCTTGGCTCCTGTGCTCGGACCGATTCCTGGCCTTCCTGGTCCTGCTCCCAAGCTGCTGCCTGGTCGCCCAGGTCCAGTGCTCAGGCTGATTCCTGGCCTTCCTGGTCCTGTGCTGCTCCCTGGTTGCCCAGGTCCTGTGTTTGTGCTGATGCCTGGCCTTCCTGGTCCAGCGCCCAAGCTGATGCCTGGCCTTCCTGATCCAGCGCCCAAGCTGATGCCTGGCCTTCCTGATCCAGCGCCCAAGCTGATGCCTGGTCGCCCAAGTCCCATGCTAGAGCTGCTGCCTGGTCGCCCAAGTCCCATGCTAGAGCTGCCAGCTAGCCTTCCAGGTCCCATGTTTGAGCTGCCAGCTGGCCTTCCAGGTCCCATGTTTGAGCCGCCACCCAGTTGCCCAGGTCCCAGGCTTGAGCCGCTGCCTGGCCTTCCAGGTCCTGCAGCTGAGCTGCTGCCTGGCCTTCCAGGTCCCATGCCAGAATTGCTCAATCGCCCAGGTCCTGCACTTGGACCACCACCTGGATGTCCAGGTCCTCCTTTTCCTAAGCTGCTGCCTGACCATTTTGCATTGGAGTTGATTCCACACTGAAGGGCTGCAGCATTTCCTGATTTTGTGGGGGCAGACTTTTTCAGGCTGGATTCTTTAGCAGATGGCAGCCTCTGAGCCCCATTGGATGCTGGTTTTGAAGGTGGCACATGAGAGCTTGAGCCAGACTTTCCGATACTATTGACAGGTAATTTACTATGACTGCTACCAGTAGAGTTTAAGGAGCCATTTTGTGAGGTTTTTTCCATTTGACCAAATCTGGAGGAAGATAATGACCGTGAGGGTTTTTCAGTCAATGCTGGTGCTTTGGATTTCTTATCAGTACCACTCATAGAAGACAACAGACTGCCTTTTGGTGTGGAATGTTTATCTACTGAGCTTTTAAGTTTTGCATGTAAAGATTCTTTCTGAGAAGTCACTTTTTTGGAAGAACTGGATATCCCTGTATTCTTAATCTCCTTCTCACTCTTCTTATGCATTTCTATTCTCTTGTTTTTGCGTCCCAAATACTCCCTCTCTCTCAATTCTTCTGCTGTTCTGGGTCTCTCTTCTACCTTTTTCACTGTTTTTATTTCCACTGGTTCATACTGTTTTATTTCAGCAAGCCTTAAGAGCTCTGCAAAGTTCAGAGGTGCTGGTGCACTTTTGGGAGGTGCCTTTGGTTTCACTGCAATTTTGGATGGTTTCTCTTCGTACTCCTCTTGCTCATGCTCAGATTCAGTCTGACTGTATTCGTGTTGCTCAGTTTCATCTTCTGTTGCATACTCAGCCTCTGGGGCCTGAGCGACATTCTCACAAGCCCTCTTCTTTTTAGGCTTCTCTTCTAGGAATGCCATTATAGCCATAAAAATTATCCTTTGTTCGTGAGGCCATAGCTCTTGCCTTTCTGTCATGTTTCAGTTCAATACGTCTAGCCAAGAGTTGTTCTTTCTTTCTTCTTTCTTCCAGTGCTGTAAAAAACCCAAACAGGAGAAAGTTATGCAAAAGCACTACTTTTTATTTCAATTTCTTCAAACCTGATAAACCATTTAGGACAATAGTTTAAGGATATCTGGCTAACAGCTATTCAATATAGACCAGAAAGTGATCAGCAGTCTGCCAACAGGGCAAGCTAACCCACCTGAATCAGCAACTCCACAAAGAAAGGTGAACAATTAAGTCAAATGCTGCTATTGCAAAACACGCTAAGGTGATTCAACCAAAGCAGCTCTCCAGAACACTATGCAAACTAAGGAGAATTACTGTGTGAGGAGGTACAGGACTTGTGGGATCTCTGGGTAGTGGAAGGAGTTCTAAGCCTGATCAAGATAATTTTGAGACTGTACAGAATTTATTATCACATGTTTAAGGGAAGATGAAGAAAGGGAGAGAATCAAAGAGTATTGGAGGGGGATGAGAACTGGAAAACAGGCTGAGTGTGTGTGTAGAGGGGCATAGGGGAGAGACAGAAGCAACCAGCCACAGATAAGCAAGCTGCTGGTCACTTCATTTGGCTGGTAGAGCACTGTGCCTTATCTCCACAGTTTGTCCTATATTCTTACTGAACTGTTTTTAGCAATTTTCTGCTTAAGTATGCTCTCTGCGATCTGTTGACAAAATTCAGGCTGAACTAGCTGGTGAATAGGATGAGAGGTCTGAATGCCAGATACTGGACAGATACTGGAGAGACCAAGGGAGTGGGGGCCAAATACCAGAAAGACTCAGGAAAAGCAACAGTCTGATAAATTTTCTAGGAATACTCATGCTGTGGGTACCTGTAAAGGTACCATCCCCTGCCTCTTATTCTACTGTCAAGGGCATGACTGTACAGAACGTGAGTGCATGCATGCCTATGTGGAATTCATGCTCAGTCTTGCTTCTGGTTGGACCTGGCAGCAGGGATAAGAGGCAGGCTCATGACTGGTCCAGGACAGGAGGAATACCTTGGGCCATCCAGTCCATCGGATTTGGTTATCTTAAACAAAACATTAACATCAGAAGCAATGCAGTATTAGTTTATTCTATAGATTAAAGGAAATATAATACAGTGGAAAAACTGTGGCTCAAGCAAAGCCTCTGTCATACCATAAAATTCAGACTGTATTGATAAACTAGATTAAGACAAAACAACAGGAACTCTTACCATTTTTTCACCCAGATAAAGCTTTTCAAAGTTAGGTTACCAGACGTCCAGATGGTTTCTTGCAATATCTCTTCACTGTAACTACTTCTCCATCTCCAACAGTAAATGCTGGTGTAGCTGGTAAATATTTAACTCCTTAGGAAAGCATGCAAACATTCCTAGTCCTTACTTAGTCCTGACTTTTCCTCAGCATCGGTTATGTGCATAAATTCCAGAAACAGATGTGTAGCTATATTTGCAAAGCTTTGAATAAGATGACAAAGTCTCAAAGAGTCAATGAAAGTCTCCCATAGAAAATATTTGGGGCTGTTACCTTTTTTTCTTTTTTCTTCTTCTTGCCGTCTGAGAAATGCTTGCACTGCTGCAGACTCTACACCCTTGACTTTTGGAACCTTTTTGGGAGGACCAACAGCCAAACTGTACCTTTTCTGCAAAGAACAGAGAAATATGTCAGAAAAGTTAGGAAATGTAAAAATCTTACAGTTTTTAAAACTGAGGAGTTGCATAACAGTCATGTACTTGACTTTAACTGCAGAGATGGTACAGAATAAACAATGAATTCCCACTGAAGCTAAGAGTTGTGATAGATACATCTGACTCCTAGCTGTACTTTGGTTCAGACTAAGGAGCAACAGGCCTCACATTCTTGGGGTGAACTTGAGAGCCAGAAAGTCCCTGGGTCATGTACAAGGGAGTGAAGGTGTCTTGAAAAATATTTTGAAAGTTGTTTTCGAAACCCAAAAGTGCCAGATAACCAAAGTACAGAACAATATGCCAGAGCTAAAATGAAGACATTTATCTTGTCTATACTATTGACTAGCAGCCAACTACTTCACCCTATAAATATCACCATCAGGATGGTCCCAGTTTGGACTCTCCCTGAATTGCAGCTGGACTGCATGCCAGGTGACTCTCCCCTTCAGCAGGGGGACCTCGCAAGGTTAGAAATTCCTTCCCTGAGACTATGAGATCCTTCCTTACCCAAAGCAGAGAGAACCCTTACCCGCAACAGATCCTTGCTAAGTGACTGATAGCTTAGCAAGGATCTGAATATAATGAAACATTACTAATGTATGTAGCTACTCAGTATTATTATAAATACTGTATTGATAATTCCATCAGACATAAACCATTGACCAAGACTAAGATTGGATCCAGCCACACCTAGGCTCCAAAAGGAGTTCAGAAAGCAAGGGAGTCCGCTCTGAACCTCGTGACTCAACAGGAATGTCCTCCTTACTCTCTGCAACTCTGGTCTCCGTGTGAATCATTCTAACTCAATTTTCCTTTGTATGTTTCTTCCATGCAATGATTAAATAAGGCAACTCTCGCCAAACTTATTGAGCCTTGTCAAACCATGGTTAAAACTTTGTTAATGTTAAATTCCATCAACTTATTGAACTTTGTCAAATTATTATTTTATCTCAATAAAATATATATTGCTGCTCCTCTCTTGAGCGAGGTGCATTCCACTCATCTGCCACAAGACTGTACTCCTGGTTTCCTTTGGAAAGCTAAGACAGGTAGGAAACCCAAGAGAAATGAGTAAAATGCACTAGACTGAGAAGGAATGCAACAGCTGCATCAGTAATGAAAAAAAATATTTCAGTTTATCCTTAGTCTTTGACCAAGCAGGAAACAAAAGCGTACTACAGCCCAAGCTGCTACAGTCTGTTCAATTCCAGAATTCGTTAGGGCTTTCAGCTTTTTGGTGGACACTCATTGCAGTTTCACGTTATTTTATTCAATGAAAATAAATAAATCAACTCAAAAAATGGAATTACTCCAAAAGTTGGAAGTGGCTTCAGAAGCATAATTAGTATGTTGATCTAAAACCAGCAATACTGATCTTAGTTCCTGCTGTAATGATCTTAAACAGAAGACTAGTGTACATCAATGAGTTAGTGATCCACATACCAGCTGACCTGAATAGGCACAAGCCTGCACTCTACTATAATTATCACTTGAGATCACTGGATGAACTCAGCAGACTAATTGTCACAGAATATGCAGCCCCCACTTGGCACCTGGCAATTACACCACTTGCACTCATCTTGAAGCAAAGCAGCACATTTTCATATAACGTCCTTTTGCTTGGCAGTAGAAATGATAGAGCATTTTACTTCTAAGAACATCCTATAAAAGCTTTAAAGACTACAATGCTGTGATCCTCACCACAGAGAGGTTTTGCACAGCTTGCCATGCCTAAATGTCTGCCCAGTGCTGTACAACTTGGGGTTCTAGTAGTTGAACAGAGGCAAAGTTATCTATGCTATCCTCATTTTTCCTTCCCCTATTATCTCCAATAAATGTTATTTTAATTGATACATTAAGAGTGCGAGTGTCTTTCTTACTGGGATCTATAATGAACACTTGCACTAGTGTGCTACACCTGTTCAGACATTACCTTTCATAAATGTGCCAATTATCAGATTGGGCTTTAGAATGATAAAATGGAAAGAAACAAAGACTTTTATTGTCTTCTTCCCAAAAACAGACTAAAGAAGATAAAGCAATGAGGAGGACAGAAAGATAAATACAATAGAAACCAGTTAAACCCAGAAGCAGATGGAAAGCAGAATACTACATTTAGAAAAAAGAAAAACATCTCTATTTGAGGTTTCAGAGGTATGGGGGTTTTTTGGCATTTCAGTAGTAAGCCAATAGGTTATAACCTAAACCAAGATTTTCAACATGGAAAGTTAGGATCTTCAAATGAGAAAGCTGTGAAATATGGCCACAAATACAAACAATATCACTAATAAGAAAGCCACACAAGTCAGTATTCCCATAAATATCTTCCTAGCCTCATACAGCCTTACGAAACAACTAAAAAAATTAAAGTGGTTGGTAAAGACACCTACATCCAAATGGTTTAGAAGCAATGATCAGGCAAGCTAGGGGCATAACTCCCTATAGATTTCAATATCACCCAAATAGACGCCTTTGTTCTAATTCATTGAAACAGCACCACATGAATAGATCCTCAATACATTGTATTGTATATACCCATGCATTATATTGTATATACATGTATTAAGAAGCAAGGTTCAGAGACTAATACCTAAAATGCAGCCAAAATTTGCTCCAAGAAGGGCAGCTACAATAACAGCTATTTGTAGCTGCCTGTAGTAATTTCTGAATTCACTAAAACAAAATTATAAAGATAGACCATCCATGTACACTGCTGTAGTAAAACCTGATATGTTGCCTCATCACATTAAAGACCTACTACAGTCAAGCTCATTTACCAAGATTCACCTCTGCACAAGAGTTTACCACAACCTGAGAACTGATTTTGTAAATCCTTATCACTTGGAGAAGTTCCAAGTCTGAACAATTTTTAGTACTTACAAGTGAAATCATTAGAATTTATCATCATAGCTAAGACTATTTAAAGGATAAGAAGATAGACAGAGCTGGGCCTCTTTTCTGGGAAGCTGAGGTCCTTTCCTCCCCAACTTTTGTGTTGTTCACACCAAAAGTATTCCAAGACCTAACAGTTCAGGAAACTTGAATCATGATGCAGTACTGCCTCTCAAATTTTGCTCAAATGTAGCCCACGACTCAGTGGCCCAAAGTAATCTGGCATGCTCCACCTAAATGAGAAGGGATAGAGAAGAAAAGCAATCCACACATTACCAGTGAAAATGCTTTCAGAAAAAGGTTGAAGCAAATTAGTACCTTAGGAACAATTTGAGATACTCCATAGTATACTTATATTAGTATAATGTCTGTAAAATAGCTTAGTCCCAAAGTTAAACATGTTTTGCCATTGGTAAACAAATTTGGCAAAACTTGGTTTAATTATTCAATTTCTACACAAACTTTTAAAAAGAGACAAACCAGAGCATTTTCAAAACAAAAGATACAGTTGGACTCCATCTCATTTTCCAACCTAAATGATTCTATGATTCTGAAAGAGTTTTAGGTTTAAGAAGCACCTTTCAAAACTGCTAAACAGCAGGGACAAATGTAGATTGAACTATCCTGTTAGGAAGCCTTATAGAGAATTAAAGTGATGGGGAAGCAGTTTTCAGGCTTTGTTTTGCTGCACTACAACCAACAGTCCTATCCAGGAGCAGGTTTGTAAAGCAGCTTAAGTCTTCCTATCAGTATATTGATTAACAACTGAAAACTTAGCTAAACAATTTATAAATGAATACCCAATTTCTGTACTATGAATCACTACTATTGTTGATAAAAGTTTTGTTCACTTTCATTTAGAAATAGCATAAAATAACCAGCTTAAGTTTAGTCTTTTTAAAAGCACTGAACCATGCCCATGTTCCACAAGCACTGACAGTGTGTTTTACTCACAGTGCAAATGAACATGCATCAGATTCCAGGTAAACCAGACACAATAAGCCAGGGTATGTCACTATTTTATCATCCAAGCAGCAGCTGTGCTATTCTGGCTTTTTACAGCTATTGCCAAGTTGGTTAAATCAAACAGAGAAACAGAAATGTTTAGCCTTTAGGAGAGAGCAGGTCAAGCTGTTTGCAGAACACTCTACTAAAGTTGTAAACATTGATTTCCTCTCTGGGTAGAGCCTAGTGTCAGCTCTAACTGAAGACTACTGAAATACACAAAGTGGGCACTGCTTTACCCAATGGAACAAGTAAAGGCTGTGAAAGCATCTCTCATCAACTGTGTACCCTCAAGAGATAACAAGTCTTCCTACCAGTGAGCAGTATTTCTCCTAAGGTTTCTCATTTTTTACCTTCATCTCTGCAAACCTTGCCATAACTACCTACCCAATAACTGGCTCTCCCTGAATCTGACCAACGGTACTTTAAGAGCATGGTGGAAAGTCCATTACAGTGCAGAATTATATTTGTTTTCCACTTACAGCCAGAATAAACTGTTTCATGGGTTATCTAGCATACAAAGTTATATGACTGACAAAGCAGCAGATTTTTCTCTGAAAAGTATACCTCAAAACAAAAAGATGAGTTACAAAAGATTGGTATTGATATGTCAAAAAAACCTCACCAGGCTGCATGTGCCTAGACATTCACACACATGCATACTGACTTGTGAGATATATATATCTGATATAGTTTATATACATATAAGACATCCATCCCTTAAATGCAGAGTGCCAGTGACTAGGAGCAAGCAAGCTTCAGGTCACAAGTTAAACTGTGTAATCTGCAACCAAGGTTTTGCTCCTGAATCACTAACTTTAAAACATGGCACACGATCCTGATACAGTTGCAGCTGTTTTGATATGCCAAATCTTGGACTGTAAAACAGATTTCATAAACTTATTGTAAACTTTGTGACATCCAAATGAAGCCCCAAAAGGTCTAGACCAATACTAGATCCAGACACAAGCAACAGAAGTAGCGTTGCCTTTAACAATGATCAATATCTACATGGGTAGCAATTGAACATATGAGTGATCAATTCTGCCAAACCTGA